ACATAGGCCAATTTGCTCTAGATTTTGGTTAAAATCAGAGAAAACAATTTACCAATCTTAAAGTTTAAGCAAGATGACAAAATATACTACATATTCACAGTATATATAATGTACATCAGTTAAATATGGATAATTCTTGCTTGTGTCTGCAGATATATTAAAATCCACTCTTTATCTTGTCCAGGCAGGATGACTTATTAGCTGACTAGTGATGAAGAAGGTTATACTCTAACACAGTGTTTCTCAACCTCAGCAACTTTAAGTTGTGTGGACTTCAACTCCCAGAATTGAAAAACACTGGTCTAACACATCTGGAGGACATTAGATTAAGGAAATGTGGTCTACTAAAATGCAGAAGCAGCTACTAAAGGAGGCTGTAGGTGATCAAAAAGTTGGAAGCAGTTGTATTGATAAAAGCTCAAGTATATAATCAAACAATATTTATCCACTAATATTTTCAAAAGTATAAATATTCACACATTGAATAAATGTGTCATTAACATTTTTAGACAATATGTTATTCATAATTTTTAAGTACAAGGATGAAGTTCCTAACCTATCAGTTGCTGATAATCTGTGACTTCATTAGCTGCCTAAAAGTAGCCAGGCAGTTTAAAAAGTAACACCAAATGTAACACTATGCCTGTTCACCATAATTTAAATAGCAAGGTCAGTTTCCTATGCTATTCATTCCTTTCAGCTGATGACCTCCAGAACATTTTCAAATGGCAAATGGTGCCAATGGAGTATAGGAAGGCAGGGTCAGAGCAAACAAGCTCTTCGCATCTACATGCTTTATGGTTAAAAATCCTAAGATGTGAACAAACAGCATTAATTAAGTAGCTGTTTCTGATCTTGCTCATCAACTATTCTGAGTTTTCCCAAATTCAGAAATGGTACTTATTTGACATATTTTGATAATACCAAAATAAAGAAGTTTTTTTTTTTTTATGGGCAAGGTTTAAAGCCTTGCTTATGATAAATAATGTCAATGTACAGTATATGGCCTCCCATCTTGCAGATGTGACTCTGGGCAGCTCATAACACATTCAAAACAATAAAAAAGAATATCAACAAAACATAAAAACCTACAGTGGACATTAAGAATAAACCCAAAGCAATTGGCAGGATGCTATGAAATGGAAAGCTATTATAAAGATATCCTATAAGCCCAAAGACTGTCTAGTAATGTCAAATCCACAAAACCTATTTTGCTGTACAAGTAGTCCTCGGATTATGACAGCAATTGGGACTGGAATTTGTCACTAAGTGATGCAGTCGTAAAGCGCAATGTCACGTGACTGCATTGCTCAACAACGGCAATTCTGACAGTTAAATGAGGACCTCACGTGATTGCGACTTCTGACTTCCTGCTGGCTTCCCCACTGACTTTGCTTGTGGGAAGCCAGTAGGGAACGTCAGAAATTGCAATCATGTGATTGTGGCTTGCTGTGAAATTGTAACTGCAAGGTGGATCATGATCATGTAACCACATAGATGCTGCAACGGCCAGAACTCAGAGGACTGGTCACAAGTACCATTCGTTCAGTGCCTTCATAACTTTGAATGGTTGCTGAACAAATGGTTGTAACCTGAGTACTACCTGTACCAACATTTTTATTTTTTATTTTTTCCTTTATGGGGCATTACTGCCACCTTTGTTACAATCATATATGGCTCTTCTGATGACCAGCTTTTATTTATCTGCCTGGTGCATCTAATTTAGACGTTATTATGAAATCAGGTGAATTCTTAACTCTCAGTACAAGATCATCAATGTTAACTTGGGAGTGATGTCGAACTGTAGCGGTCCATTTCCTGCAGTTGGCTGACATTCATTTCTTTGTAATTCAGTGAGAACTGTTAAAACCTTCTAATTCCATCAGGCCATTCCTGAAAGTCAGTCAAGGTAAGCACTGCTATCATTTTGCAATTGAGATTTAGCAGATTAGAATTTTGTTGCAGTGCCTGCTCCCTGAGATCTGCGTGGTTCCCACCCCAATGGAGTTCCAGAAGACCTTGGGTTAGGGTAGAGGGACCCCTTGTGGTAGGTGCCTTGTACATTTTTGTTGTTGAATAGGCAGATTTTCCATCTTGTTTATTTATCTTGTATTGTGCTATTTGTTCTGTTCTGTCAGCCACCAAGAGTTGTTTGAAGTTAGGCAGCTCCTAATCACTTTTATTTATTCCTTCAACTGATTTATACTGCTGCCCATCTCACTTTTGCGTGATTCTAAGCAGCTAATAAATAAATAAATAAATAAATAAATAAATAAATATTGATAATAATTTATTAAACCTGTATACCACCCAACTCTCAATGACTGGACGTCTCACAACATTCAAAGAAATTACAATAAAATCAATAAAAGATAAAAGATGGCAAACGCAACAGACCCGATGAAATGAAGTGAGGGGTCTCACTTCCCCTTGCCATTTAAATAAATGAAAACAGGACAATCATCCTTGAAATGAGCAAGATGCAAAGAGAGGGCTGGGAGTTTTGCTTATGGTTTAGGGCTGGCTGGAAGAAGAGGCAGAGAAGTCCTTTCCCTTCAAGAACAAAGTCAAAGCTAGAAACAGCTGCCAGCTAAGCAGGACTGAAGCTACAGCAGCCTGAGCAAGTACATATAAGGCAGGGTCAAGGCTCAAAGGGCCTTGTGGAAGTTAATAGGTGTAATAACTGGGATGGGTCCAATGGCAATAAGTGGACTTGGTAGTACTCACCAAAAGCAGATTAATAGGTGACACCTAGCAAGGAGCCCTGCGGCCATAACTAATGCACCTGTGAATGGAAAAGACCACAGAGCCCATTAGCTGTTCATAAGACTGAAGACTTGGCTGTTTTGCCAGGCATTTGGGACAGTCTAGATGAGCTCTGTTGGTGATGTGACTTTTTGTTTGGGGGGTTGTTGTTTTAACCAGGGCATCATGGGTTATGTATTGTTATGGTGGCTTTAATCTTTGTAAGCTGCCCAGAATCACTATTGTAAGATGGGCAGCTCTATAAATAATTATTCTTCATCATCATCATCATCTGCCTTAGAAACTCTGAAATCTGCTTCTGTCCCATTAATATTAATTGAAGATGGTGAAATTGAATTGGGAAAACCCACTGTGTAAAATAAAATCATAATGTGAAGACTTCAAATTAGGCTGATACATAGATACAGTGGGGCAAAAAACTATTTAGTCAGCCACCAATTGTGCAAGTTCTCCCACTTAAAAAGATGAGAGAGGCCTGTAATTTTCATCATAGGTATACCTCAACTATTACCTCAACTATGAGAGACAAAATGAGAAAAAAAATCCAGAAATACCTCAACTATGAGAGACAAAATGAGAAAAAAAATCCAGAAATACCTCAACTATGAGAGACAAAATGAGAAAAAAAATCCAGAAATACCTCAACTATGAGAGACAAAATGAGAAAAAAAATCCAGAAATACCTCAACTATGAGAGACAAAATGAGAAAAAAAATCCAGAAATACCTCAACTATGAGAGACAAAATGAGAAAAAAAATCCAGAAATACCTCAACTATGAGAGACAAAATGAGAAAAAAAATCCAGAAATACCTCAACTATGAGAGACAAAATGAGAAAAAAAATCCAGAAATACCTCAACTATGAGAGACAAAATGAGAAAAAAAATCCAGAAATACCTCAACTATGAGAGACAAAATGAGAAAAAAAATCCAGAAATACCTCAACTATGAGAGACAAAATGAGAAAAAAAATCCAGAAAAGCATGGGGGTGGAAACATCATAGTTGAGGTATACCTATGATGAAAATTACAGGCCTCTCTCATCTTTTTAAGTGGGAGAACTTGCACAATTGGTGGCTGACTAAATACTTTTTTGCCCCACTGTACTTGATATTTATCTATCTGGGTCTGTGTCATCTGTCTGACTGGCTAACTTATTTTTTATATTGTACAATTTTTAAAAAATATTGTAAAATTGATGTATTGTGTATGTTCTATAGTGATAACTGCATGGGTCAAAATTAGCCTTGTTTCAGTTAAAATATGCAGAGGTAGTGGCTCCATTTTCTGGTCTTCATGTCCATCTATCCCTCTGACTTGTATTTATCTTTAGGAGCATAACTGATCATCTATGCGCATACAATAAAAGACAAAATATTTTTCTCTAGTATATTTCAGATGTTCATATATTACATTTTATATATATGTATGCAGATAGCTATATGTACCTATTTCTAAGTTGAATATAATGGATGGTCTGCTTGTGAAAACAGTTTAATTCTGTTATTCTCACCCCTTAAGGATTTTTTTGCATAAAACAGAAAAAACATTAACTTATGATTTAGGATTTTGATGATTAGACAGGACAGATTATAGAAAGAAGAGAGTTATGTTGTAACCTTAGAGTAAGAGGTATATTTATAATTGTACTTATAACTTCTGTAAAGAAGATTGGAAACTACTTCTATGTATCTTTTTTCTTTATTTTCTGTTTTTCTTTTCTTTTTTCTCCTTTCTTGCTCTTTGATTTCTTTTTCTCTTTTCTTTTTCTTACTTTATATTACTTTGTATTAGTTATTATCTTCCTTTTTAAATAATAATAATTTCAGTTATTCTCAAACCCACCGCAGCATACTATAAAAATATTCAAAGAAAAATAGAGAGATCTCACACCAGTCATAGCAGTAGCCTAGAAAATTATTTTGGTACAACAGTTATTAAATGTAGAAAGGTATCTAAAATGTGAAATGTTTCAGATATACTTTTTAATCCCGACCCTTCATTACTTTATTTTAAAAGTCCATATTACAGTTTCTGTTTTAAGCAGGATTCCCCCTGAATTATAACACAGATCTTTTTAACCTGTAAAAATATGTTATTTTTATTTGAATATGCAAAATAACCCTTTTTATTATGCAATGTGTTGTTTTCATGCTTAACATGACTAAGTTATGCTACTTCTCTGAGTTTTTATTACACTCAATGACCAAAAAAAAAGTCACAGATGCAAGCAGAAGATTCGATTTAAATTTACTAAGAAAGTTGCAGAACAGAATACATTACCTTCAACCAGAATGGATTAAAAAAATAGCATATTATAAAGGAATTTATTAAAGAATCACCAGCTTTCAGATCTAAGTATATCATAATTAAACCAATCAAGTGTTTAAAAAGTGTTTGTATTTGTCTTTATAAATATGCAGAAAAGCACTACAATTAATATTAATTACAACTAATCCTGTCTTATTTAGTTTTAATAATACAAACAAATTGACTTCCAATAAAATCAAATCCTTATATGTTAATTTAGGAAGTAGCAAATTCTTTCAGATAGTAACATCCAAAGAAAAATGCAGTTAATTCTGCTCATGCTTTGGACTTCTTCAACATCTCCCTGCCAATTCCAAATCACCTTTGGAAAAAAAATGGGATGTGCATAGCCATTTGTGATATGACAAGGGGTTGTATATCTGTATACATGTGTATATCTGCCAAAGAGGGGAAAAATCCCTCTAGAGCATGTGGGCCTGCCTAAAACAGCTCACTGGATTCCAGCTGAAATACAAGAGTTTTTCTTGACCTGCTATGATAGAATAAAATGAAATTGTGGAGACATTTTTGACAACAAACCACATTTTCTTTCCTGCTGCTCTTCTTAGTGTTAAAAATTATACAAAAATATGGCCAACTGATCCCTCATATTACACACTTAAAAGCAATTTTAGATAGATTTGCACCAGGGTCTGTTACACACCATATGGTCATTACTATTAAAATAGTCTTGGATTACTTTAACATTAATATTTTATCAATTCTGTAATGGTTTTATGGAAAGCAATGCCAAAATTTCAATTAAACAAATGCTTCAAGAAAGCTAGTGTCAAACACATATATTTGGAAAACATGCTACTTCCAACATCTAGTTCCAGCCTAGTTCTTAAGGAACTTGTTTTCCAAGTTTTCATTCCATCTTGAAGTCAAAATAGCTCAAAGCTTAGCTTTGGCTACTTGGAGCTGCAGATTCTGTAGCTTCATAGCCATGCCCATATTCCCAGAAACTTTCAACTTCCCTTGAAAGAAAGCCTAGGTTAAAAAACAAAACAAAACAGAATTACATTTCATTTGTTAATGTTTTCATTCAATTCTAAATGAAATGCCTTCTAAAACCGTGCCTTTCAAGATGGAAGCCAAATAAGCTGAGGCTGCTAAGTAGGTGATTTTATTTTAGGTTATCTTTTGCAAATGCATGTAAATCAGTCTACAGACCTAATTTATATAAGTGGAAAACAAAGCAAATAATTTGATCAAAAAGGAAAATCATTTTACTTTTTTAGGCCAAATAACTTTTCAGTGATGCTTTGATATAAAAGCCAATTTGATCATAATTATCCCAAAATCACAATTCACAGGAAGGGAGATTAGTTGTTTTTTTTTATTTGTTCAGGATAAGGAAAATTCTTAATTTGCTGCCAACTAGAAATTACTTTGGAAAATGTATTTAAGGAGACTTCTGGAGAAGAAATGGCGAACAAAGTATGGCTCCACTAAAAGCAGAGCCAACAACCGTGGCAGAATAAAGAGCCAGTGAGTAGACCGGCTCTTCATAATTCCTCTCCAGACAAGAAGAGGACTTGAAATTGCCCACAAGTGCTCCAGACAGTTGCTCATGAGGAGACCACAAGACAGCAGTCTCCAGCAAGTTTAGAGCCTGACCATCTTGCTTAAACCATGGTTGGCACCTTTAAGGACATTGGGTTCGCATACTTTCTTTTCTAATCACTTTCAGAAATTGCTTGTTAACTGCTTTTTAGCTATTAGGAACCTTTGGATCAACAAGTCTGAAAACACTGGGTGAGTTACCTTCAATCCTTAGCAAAAGAAGGTTTAAATACAAGTTCAAGGACTTAGAGAGAGAGAGAGAATGGGAGGGAGGGAGAGGGAGAGGGAGAG